ATATTATATTTTTTTATTAAAAAAATAATTAATTTAAGTAATTTAATTTTCTTAGAATTAGGATTTTTAAGTTATATAAGTTAGAGAAAATAATTTGAGTAACCGAAAATGTCTTATAATATACGCTTTTAACCAATTTTTTTTTGGATTTACTAAAATAACCAACAAATTCACAACACGAACTCTAATTTCGCAACACAATTTCCAAATTTACAACATCGAATTTAAAATTCATAACACATAATTGAAATTCACGTTGCGAATTTGAAATTCGCAACACAGGATTAAAATTTGCGTTGTGAATTTCAGAAATGAACATCTTTCGTTTACTGAGTGCATGTTTCTGTCTCTGTCTCTTCCCCTCACTGTCAACCTAAAAATCGCTGTTATTCAGTCTTTAACGTGGCAAGTTACCTCCCGTTTGGGCGGTTGTTCATCTTTTCCCTTAATAACTTCTTGATGAAAAAGAAGAGTTATTAACATGTATTAACTCTTGTGCGGTCGTTCACCTTCTCATGCATTGAAGATGGCAAGAAGAATGATCATCAAAGATGTTCATACATAGACCCATAAAGTCCAAGCCAAAAAGAATTTATGGCCTTCCTTTGTTTTCTGTTTAAGTCTTTGATCCTTTGGATTATCTAACATGCATCTTTGCTTCTTCCTCTAATAGTTTCAATGGACAGTTTAAACATAACTGAGACGATAAACCCAAAAAAATCTCTCGCCTGACCCTCCGCCGAGGAACCCAAAAACCCATCCCATCAGTTTCTTATGACCTCTGTGTTTGTGACGGGGTGGTGTTGCTTCAGCAGCTGCGGAGTTTCTTCTATGAGGTGATGGAGCTGAAGATTGACTTCCATTACTGCTTCTTGGATCAGTTCCCTCAGCAAACATGTACCGTTTTGGGTTCCTCGAAACTGACGCTTCATCGGCTTTACTCATCAATGGAGCTGAACCTTAAAAGAATCTGTTTTCGAAGAATCGAAGGTATTAAAATGAACGTATCGATGGTAAGCATGTCGTGAGAAACTGAATGACAGTGATTTTTAGGTTGACAGTGAGGGGGGGGGGGAGAGAGAGAGAGAGAAACACGCACTCAGTAAACGAAAGGTGTGCATTTATGTGTTGCGAAAGTCGCTAATTTCAATTATGTGTTGCTAATTCTAAATTTTATGTTTGAATTTAGAAATTGTGTTATGAAATTAGAGTTTATGTTGTGAATTTATTGGTTATTTTTGTAAATCCAAAAAAATGATTAAAATCGTATATTATAAGACATTTTCGTTCACTCAAGTTATTTTCTCTAAGTTAGAGTCATCAACATCAATCACCACCAACGACCACCTTAACTTGTCGGAAAATCAACTACTACAACACGCAACGTTTTTGTTCATCGTCGCCCAGTTCAACATTATCCAATTATTCTTAATAAAAAAATGGGTACACTATAAGTTTAGTACCTAAACTATTAATTTTATTCGATTTTAGTATATCAACTTTTAATTTTTTCAAAATCATACATAATGTTTACTTTTTGTTTCATTTTAGTACCCCTATCGTTAAAAAGTTAATGGCACAACTGGCATGCTATTTTTTATTTGTGTAAACTACACAGTTCATCACTCAACTATCTTATCACTTCTATTTTGATCACCAAAGTTTAAAAATTTTGAATTTAATCATTAAACTTTTGAATTGTTTTTTATTTTGATCCTCTCTAATAACATGGACTATATTATTATTATTATTATTATTATTAGTATGACGTGATAAATTAATTAATATTGTATATCAAATAAGATTTAAAATAAAAATAAAAATTTATAATATTAATCCAACCCTTAATCCCTAAACCCCAATCATAGATCCAAACCCCAACCTCATTGACATCACCCTCCGACCACCAAATAAGAATCCCTTGAAAAATCGTTTGCGAATCGGAAACAAATTTAAGTGTCAAGAATACACCAACCACCATCACCTTCACAAAGACAAGTTAAGAAAAATGTAAACATTGCTTAATACTCATAATTGAAACAACAAAAAGCTGAGAATTTTTTTATGTAAAAACAAAAACAGCAACAATAAAAGGGAAAGAGCATGAAGTGGATGAGAAGGAAGCTGTCATCCATGCTTCCTCATTTCCTCTTAAAATGTTGCAGTTTCAGAAAAAGTGAAACCAAAATAAAGAAGAGATAAAGAGTATGAAACAAAAACAAAACAATAAAAAATCTAGGTATGGACTTCCCCTCATTTTCCAGGCAAAATAAAGATAACTCATTTCACTAGATCACCAAACAAAAAAAGCAACATTATCCCCCTTTTTACTTTCACGGGCTTAATCATAAAATCAAAATAAAAAGAATAAAGAAAAAGAAGAACAAGAACAAGAACTTGATGAATATAGGTATGGACTGCAAGGTTTTTTTTTTTGTAGATTCACTCAATCGTAGCACTGTCTCATGTAAGGGAAGTGAGTTTTTGGGTATTCTTTGTTTCATGAAGATGAAGTTAAGGATGGATTGCTCAAAAAAAGAAGAAGAAGAAGTTAATGATAGGTTTAGATCGGCATTGGGGTTTGGAGATTTAAGATTAAGATTAAGGATTTTGATTTTAAATTTCATGTGACATTAATAATAATAAATTTGTCATGTCATACTAAAAATAATAATAAAATAACCCACATCATCAAAGAGAGATCAAAATACAAGTAATTTGAAAGTTTAACGATTAAATTGAATTTTTTTTAAATTTTAGTGACGAAAATAGAAATGAGAAGATAGTTGAGTGATGAATCGTGTAATTTATCCAAATAAAAAAATACTACGTCATCTGCACCGTTAACTTTTTAACGACGATGTACTAAAATGAAATAAAAAATAAACGTTAAGTATGATTTTGAAAAAAATGAAAGTTGAGGTACAAAGTTGAAACAAAAGTGATAGTTTAGGTACTAAACATGTAGTTTACCCTAAAAATTATAATTTAATTATAATTCTATTAAGACTATAATTAAATTTTAATAAATGATTAATTTTAAATAAACCCTTATATTTTTTAATATTTACATAATAAAGATAAATTTGCTTTTGGTGTGTTTCGGTACGTCGCTTTTGTGATACGTTACGGTATGTGATGTGCACTGTAGAATTTTCCGTAAACAAAGGCTCAACCCACAAAGTACGCCTAAAACGGTTCTGAGATCAAAATTTATCATATTTCAGTTTGTAGTTTAACGCCCAACTTAGAAGATCGTCAACTTTTTAACCGAAAATGACGAGTTTGGAATAAATGAATAGTTTGATGACCATTTTATAATCTTTAATAGTTAGAGGACTCAATGAAATAACATTTTATAGTCAATGGACTATTTTATAACTTTTAATAATCAGACTTAACAAAGTAACATCTTATAGTCGAAACACCATTTAATATACTTTACCCTAATTATTATTATTGGAAAAATATATAAAGTTAGGACTCAAACGAATTTATTTATAGAATCTCATAAAAAAAAATATTTAAGAGATTAATTATCCTTAAATATGTTCAAGGATCATTCCACTCATTTAAGTATGGAATTGTGTCAAATTGAAAAAATCAACAAAAGATTTAGAACTAAATATAAATATAATTAAAATTATGTTTAACAACAATTTATTAAAAAACAATATATTTTTTTGATAAAGACGTATTACAATCAGTCACGTCTTTATTATTGTGATAGATAAAAGTTTAGGATCTACTTTTGATGATTCAAAATCGGACATATTAGCCCTGAAATTTTTAAATTATTTTTTTGTTTATATATTATATTTTTAAAAATATTTAATTATAACATTTCAAAGATACACTCATTATTAAATGATTAAAGATAATATCTATATGTGCATATTATTGTTCGACCCAACTCGTGTAAAAATATGCATATTTTTTTAGTAAAATTCGTACGATTATTTTCTTTACATTTTAATAATTTTTTTCATTTCTTTCATTTTGATCATGATCTAGAAAACCTTGTATGTCACATAATTAAAGTCGCGTCTTACAAAATATATCTTATGAAAAACGCAATTAATATGACATATTATAAAAAAATATGTTATTTTCTTAAATGATTTTTCTAAATCATACATACATAAATAATATAAAAATATTATTCATATAAATATGTCAGCTTTAAGTTCAAATTCAATTGATTAAGGTATATAATATTATTTATATAAATATTTTTCTTATTAATGCGTTGGCGTATGAATATTTAATATGAATTTGATTAATTTTGATTTAATTTGACTGAGTTAACTTTTTTAAGATCGGATCAAATTAAATTAAACTCGAGTTTAAGATAAATAAATTCAACCCAAAATAATATTATGACTATCTCTTAAATATTTATCACTCTCTATATTATTTTAGAGATATCTAAAATAATTTTAGTTCTATTCCCAAAATGAATTTTGGGTTTTACAAGTAAATAACCCATTGAATGAGACATCTAGTTCCGGATCGAAGGCTGAAATGGCAAAAAGTTGAGTCAAATATTCGTAGGCCAACACTTTCAAGAACTGCCCAACACTGGAGTTTTGAGTTCAGAATAATCAAGGTGCATTTTTTGAAGCAATTACAAGTGAATGAGAATGAATGGCTAAACCAGAGGAGCCAAACGTAATGGAAAACCAGTGCTCCTGTTTTCCAATCTAGTGGTCCCTTCCAATCTCCGCAAACAGCCATTGATTCCAGACATGCAAATATCATAAAGTATTCCCACTTAAAATAATCAATACTGCACTTCTAAACCGACAGCTATACCGCGAATTATACACCAGAAAAACCTAAACCTGGTTTTCACTTAATCCTGCTTTGCAAAACCTCACCAACGATCATATGACTTTCCGAAGACTGGCTGCCTTTTTTTTACTTGCAAACCAGCCCATTGTTAATCAAAACCCACTTTCTATTTACAAAGCCTTACCTCCAAAACCTTAAAAACCCACCAATTTTACTTCATTTTCAATAGTTTCTGATCATCTTTCTCATTTTTGTAAAGTTCCCAACTCTTCCTTTTGTTACAGAAAATTTTTTACTGCATGGAAGACGGTAATAAAATAGGTTCAACAGCTCATCCCAGTTCCTTACATCACCCGGTCCGCGGAGATGCCTCCAGTGGCACCCTGGGGAGCCACCTGGCAAGGCGGCTCGTGGAGATCGGTGTGAAAGACGTGTTCTCAGTTCCTGGTGACTTCAACTTGACTCTCTTGGATCATCTAATAGCAGAACCTGGGCTGAACTTAGTCGGATGCTGCAACGAGCTTAACGCCGGATATGCGGCCGATGGCTATGCGCGTGCTAAGGGCGTGGGAGCCTGCGTCGTGACCTTCACTGTTGGAGGCCTCAGCGTGATTAACGCTATTGCCGGAGCTTACAGTGAGAATTTACCCGTGATCTGCATAGTTGGAGGCCCTAACACTAATGACTACGGGACCAACCGGATCTTGCATCATACTATTGGGTTGCCAGATTTTACCCAAGAACTAAGGTGTTTCCAAGCTGTCACTTGTGCCCAAGTAAGTTAAAAGGAAATCCTTTGTTCACAATCCTAATGAATATATCTTTTTGCAGATTTTTGTATGTATTAGTAGTATTTATGTTTAAATTGGTGGTGATATGATATGACAGGCAGTGGTGAACAACTTGGATGATGCACATGAGCTTCTCGATACTGCAATATCGACAGCTTTGAAGGAAAGGAAGCCCGTTTACATTAGTATCAGCTGTAATTTGCCTGGAATTCCTCACCCAACATTTGCTAGAGAGCCAGTGCCCTTCTTTCTTGCTCCAGTGTAAAGTTTTTCTCTGACTTATTTTTTCCTTACATTGCTTCTTATTCATTTCATAATTTGGTGAGAGTTTTTAGACATGCATGGAACCAAGTTACATGCTTGTGTTCCTGATTCTTTACAATTGTCTGCAGCGTAAGCAATCAATTAGGATTAGAAGCAGCTGTGGAAGCTACTGCTAATTTTCTGAACAAAGCTGTGAAGCCTGTCATTGTGGGTGGACCCAAATTAAGGGTTGCAAAGGCACAAGAAGCCTTTGTAGAGCTTGCAGATGCCTCTGGGTATCCCATTGCTGTAATGCCCTCAGGCAAGGGATTGGTGCCCGAACACCATCCACACTTCATTGGAACATATTGGGGTGCTGTTAGCACCAGCTTTTGTGGGGAAATAGTGGAATCTGCTGATGCCTATGTTTTTGTTGGTCCAATCTTCAATGATTATAGCTCTGTAGGCTACTCTTTGTTGGTCAAGAGGGAGAAAGCAATCATGGTGCAACCCAATCGTGTGGCGATAGGCAATGGTCCTTCTTTTGGTTGGGTTTTCATGGCTGACTTCTTAAGTGCATTGGCAAAGAAACTGAGGAGAAATACTACTGCTGTGGAGAACTACCGACGGATATTTGTCCCTCCAGGCATGCCTTTGAAGCATGGGAATGATGAGCCTCTGAGAGTCAATGTTCTCTTTAAGCACATTCAGGTAGGCACCGAGGTTATAGTTTGCAATTATCCTCTACGATATTGTAGCTTATAATATAGATTTATTGAAGAAATGCGCGTGTGACATTTTCAGCCACATAGGTGCCTTCAATACCTTAATATGAAATAATTTTTATGGTTAGAATGCACACTTCAGTGTGTATGACATGCCTTGTGGCCGTTACTGCTTTTATTTCAGCCTCTAACTATATCTGTAAGAGCATAATGTAAATCATTTAGACTTACCAATGCATAACCAGATGTGGACACTTGATGTGATTCTTGTTTTTTCATTTACCTGATTTGTCTCGTCGTTGGTCGAACTTGTTTAACAGGAGATGCTAAGCGGAGACTCTGCAGTTATTTCTGAAACTGGAGACTCGTGGTTCAACTGTCAGAAGCTCCATCTTCCAGAGAACTGCGGGTAAGCAAGATCATCTCAAAAGGCACATTTCTTGAGTTTTGAACTATAATACTATATGTTAATCTTGCGGTGTCTAAATGTTTATCTTTATTGCTTGAAGTTATGAATTCCAGATGCAGTATGGATCCATTGGTTGGTCAGTTGGTGCCACACTTGGATATGCTCAGGCTGCTAAAGACAAACGTGTCATTGCTTGCATTGGTGACGGCAGTTTCCAGGTGAGCCACATGATTTTCATTTAGAACTTCAATGAAACATTTGAATTAACCCCCCCCCCTCTCTCTATATATATATATTGTATATATTTGGACAGGGTAAAGAATGTGGTAAGTAAATAATATTTTTGTTTCAATAAATTATTCAGGTGACTGCTCAAGATATTTCAACTATGATCCGATGTGGACAAAGAAGCATCATATTTCTCATCAATAACGGAGGTTATACAATTGAAGTTGAGATTCATGACGGGCCTTACAATGTTATCAAGAACTGGAATTACACTGCCCTAGTTGATGCCATCCACAATGGTGAAGGCAAATGCTGGACAACCAAGGTTAGTAAATATCAAAGGATGTTTAGCATAAACTAATGTTGATCAAAAGCTCCCTTTCACATATAATAGTGTCATTTTTCAAATAATTAGATGCATCCACAGTCGGTGCCGAGTTCCTCATTGGCATGCATAGATTAAAGCTTTCTATTGCTAAATGTAGGTGAGGACAGAGGATGAACTAAAAGAAGCCATTGGTACAGCAACCGGAGAAAAGAAAGATTCACTATGTTTCATTGAAGTTTTTGCACACAAAGACGACACCAGCAAAGAGCTGCTGGAATGGGGATCTAGAGTTTCCTCTGCAAACAGCCGGCCTCCAAATCCTCAGTAGTCTGAAATGTTTAGGGAATGGCAAATTGGAAATCACCGTAAGCTTGAATAAATATGGATGGACAGAAATTGCTTGGCCTGTATGACATTTTGTCAATCTTGTTACTTCTTTCTACTTCGTAAATAAACTATTGTGAGACAAAAAGAGCTAAATGATGACAAAATGGTGGATGATTGTGTTGTCTGTTAGAAGCAGACCGAACAGCTCCCATCAATTTAATCTCTACTTTAGAGCATCTTAACAGAGGCCTTTGGCATTGAATATTTGATTATTTGATTGTTTTTCGAAGCACTTTTGTTCTCTTCTGTTACATTATTTTTACTTGTCTAAATCCCCATTAATCTCTCCACCCGCCACCTAATTAAGATCCAAAATTCTAAATTAAATATGAACTATAATTAATACTAGTTAATATTATTTATCATATACTAAGTTGGGTAATAATTATCTTTGTAGTGATTTGATTGTGATAAAACTCTTTTTTTTTAAATATGGTAGAATCTCTATAAATTAATATTCAATAAATTAATAACCTCTTTAAAATAATAATTTTTCTCAATCCCGACTTGAGTTCAATATCTAAATTAATAATTTCGATAAATTAATAAGATAATAATTTTCTGAAAGACCTTGTATAAATTTATGATCCCTTCAAACATAATTAAAATCCATATTTGAAAAAAAAAAGAGTTGGTCATCTCTTTAAAAAGAATGTACAAGTTAACTAGTATTTTATCTATTATTAAGGTATTTTAAAAAATGAATCGTTTTTAATACAAAATTTATAAAGTTATAATTAAGTTAACTTTTTTATTTTTATGTTCATAATATTTTTTTCTCATTTGCAAATATAAACAACGAAAATCAATCACATTAAATATTACTTTTCTATATATAAACTCGGTTAATTTTCAAAAACATTATTCTATATTAATACCGTATTAATTATTTTTTTATTTACAAATTCCAAACATAATAATGGACAGATTTGATAGTTGGATCTAAAATGTCAATTTTATAAGAAAATAGAATTAATTTTAAAGCGTGATATTTTTATATAAATTCATACATCCATACACTCATGTAATATATTGTCAATCTTATGGTTCGATTCCATAAGAGCTCTAACTCCATTAACCTAATGTCATTAACCTTAAATATTTTTTTACTTTCTTCTCGACAGGTTTTAATTTAACAGTATGATATCTTAGAAGTATCAATCATCATCTTGACTTGGACGATCTGTTAATTTCCGAGAACCATCCTCCTGCTGGACCATACCTTTGTTTTTCTCAATCTTCCATGACACTGGGACTAAGTATTCATCCTTTAATCCGTTGATGGATTTGTTTAGGAGCGCTATATCACGACTAATCACCAAGTCAAACCCTCCATGACTCCCTTGAGTTCCTGCGACCCCATGTAAATAACCTTCCAAATCATGCCAATTCAAGTTCCCAGACCCCCTCAAGTACTTTGATTTACGGGTGTCAATAGCCAGTTCTTCTCCCACATCCCAGTACCCTATCAACGGGTAGTTGGGGACAACATCTAAAGCATTTCTGACGCGTAACGCTCGAAGGTCACTGAACCCTCTAAACTTCATCTTGAACACCGAATCACCTACTCGAGGACTAGTGAATAAAAAGGCTGTGACAGGCGAGGGCTCGTTATATCCATTGGCAACTATGTCGACGGCATTCAGAGTAGCGAGGGCTGCACCTAAGCTTTGGCCGGTCACCGTGATGCTTATCTCCTCGTTCTTGAACTGGTCGACTAGTCTCATAATCTCGTTAAGAACCTAAAATATCAACAGTCAAAAACATAGACAAATCATATCGATACTAAACTACTAATGGAACATTGTTATGGTAGTGCTCACTTGGTCTCTGGCACTGGTTTTGTTATACAGAGATCGTGGGTCTGCCGAGGTGTAGATGGAGTACCAGCCGTCATGCACTTTAGCATCACAAGGAACACCAAAAATTTTGTCTGGCGAAACAAAGTTAAATTCAAAATCATCGATCCATTCCAGGGTCTCCACTGTTCCTCTCCAAGGAATCACAATATCCCTCCTTCCTAAAACATGTTTCCCTTCATCCGTGACCACGGCCACATAACCGATCCAGTTCAATTCTTTGCTCCATGCTTCCCTGGACAACGACTTCACTATAAATGCTTCGGGAACTTGGATTTGGGATGTGGCGTAAAAGAATTTGGTCACCTGATACCTGTACGGATTACCTTTCTCCAAACCCACGTTAGAGAAGAAATCTTTCTTGCCATACAAACTGCTTCCAGCATGTTTTGAAGCCTTCTCGGTGTTGAAGGCGTCATAGGTAGCCTGACCCATTTCTCCATAGTGAATAAGGTAACGCCGAAGATCAATGTCCAAAGGGTCCAAAAGCCCTCCCCAGTGGTTCTCGCCGCTCAACTGCCTCCATCTCTCCGCTATGCTACTACCCATCGCTTTCTCTTTCTTATCGAACCAATTCTTCACAATGTTAGTGTATATATATAGCTTAACCTGAAATATTTTATTAAGTTTATGAATTTATAAAGGTTGCAACTTCACAACTAGAGTGAATACAAGGAAATAATTATGTTAGAAAGAGTGTGTTTCCAAAAACCCTATGCCAAAGAAACAAATGTTTCCTACAAAGCATTGTTATCTTTCTGTAACACCAACATCTTAAAATAGAAAGACTTTATTTTGAAGTTTCCAAAAGAGAGTATGAGAGCAATGAAGAAGATAAGTATTAACTTGGACATCAGCTAGATACTTTGCCGAGTCTTTCAACGGGATTTGTTCCTATTTAGGGCATGAGTTCAAGATTAGTACTACAACTTCGAATTTAAGGTTATCCTAAATTCACAACATAGAAATCAACCTTGGCTACCGATATTTCTTCTTTTCATCGAGAAAGAGAGATTCTTGATGCTAACGCGTAATTCATGAATATATCGATTAATATGTATTTAACAAATGTATTATTATTTAATCCATTATTAGTGAAAAATGATTTTGTAAATAATATTAATATAATGATAAGTACTTTAAAAATAAATTTTAAAATTTGAAAAAAATATAATATATATCTTCGCTTTTAAGATGACTTGTAAAAAAAAATTCTATTAGCAGTATATCAATAAAATTGATCAGATAATACTTTGAGAAAAATAATTTTTCTCATATAAAGTGTTAATATGATTATTTTCTCATCTAAAGTGAATGTTAAAGTGCTCCGTAGAAGACGTATGATTATTTTCTCATCTAAAGTGAATGTTAAAGTGCTCCATAGAAGACGTCCAAAAGATCTAACGATTTCTTAAAAAATGTTTGAAATGCAATGATATCAGCATTTCTTAGATATTTTAAGAATAAACTTATTATACAAAATAATATAACTTCAATTCAGATAAATATAAGTGAAATAAACGGAATCGAAGTGTCAATGACATCAACCTTTCAAGAAAAAAGAGACATGGAAAAAAATTAGATGACCCTATTCCCATATATAATAGGGTAAGGGGGAGGTAGGTAGTAGTAGGTTTCCCTCAACACTAGGTTGAGAGCAGCTTCCGTGGAAGACCTCCGTTATGAATTGCCCTCAGTGGGACTTGATCCCACGACCACAATGTTAAAAATCTTGCGCTCTACCAACTGAGCTAGATGAACAATTCATAAAAAAAGAGACATGGAGTTCAACTATAATTCGGATTCCACATTGGCAATTAGTCTATGAAATGGGCTAATGGCATGACCCATGGCTCTAGGGGAATTGAAAAGTTTTCTACGACAAAATTTGGGGTCATTGAAGAAACTTCCACAGTTTCTAATATGGATGGATATTATCGAGTCTAGTTTGCCCCAGATTGGCTTTACCGGAAGTTCATTTCGCATTCCATCTCTACCCATTGTCAGAAAGCAATGATGATAAATTATAATTATATACATCTTTTATGATTAATTTCTCATATAATTATTATAATTTAAGTTTAATTATAAAAAATATGTTTGTTTTGATTTAGGAAATAAATATGGATGCGATGATGAAAATTAATTCAAAAAGTGTGTTTTTAGTTTTTTATGTGAGAATTAAGTTTTTTATGACTAACAACGTCTTATGACTAACATGCGACTGCTATCTGATAATAAAAAGAATTCGAACTTTTAGTCAAATCTAGAACGAAACTTACTTTTATAGATATTTCCATTATTTTAAAAGTATCTGGCGAAGAATCAATCTTTTTTTTCAATTAAGACTTTATTTATTGTGATTTTCCTTTATTTTAGCTTTTCTTGTTTAATTTAAACTCATTTAAAGGATATTTACTTTATTTTAAGGATTTGATTTTCTATATAAAAAGCCTTTTAGCCACCTTTTAGGGATTTCTTTAACGGCACAACTTCTTTTCTCTTTTATTTTCATTCAACCACGAGTGACTAAATTTTTATTTCTAATTGAAGAGTGAAATGATTACGCTGTAATTTTGCAATGCTTGTGCTAAACTAGTTTTTCTCCTTTAATCCAAGTAATCTTTATTTCTTGTTCTTATTTTTATGAATTTTTGATATTGATTAAATTGATGCCTTAACACGATATTTGAGTTTTCTATTGCTATTCATAAGTTTGTGATTTGTGATGGTCATGAACGATTGACATAAATAGCAAAGGGTAAGTCTCATGATTTTTGTTTGTTATAGTTTATTTTCTGAAATTTGCATCGCACATGATAGTCTCTAGGGAAATAAAGGTACAAAATTAATTAGTTTTGTTTTAGTCGTTCTCAGAGTTCTTAATGCTATCTATAGATTTAATATGAAACATTATCGTGCCCAGTTTTTTAATGGTAAGATATGATTTGAATGTTTGTTGCAAATAAATATGCTAATCAATTATAAAAAGGGAATATACTTATTGCGGTTCCGAGCAAGTGACTAATTAATTGGATATTAAAAATCGATCTTTAAGCCTATAATCAAAATTATAATTGGATGAAGAACACACCTTTGAATTGGAAGTTCGAATGCTAAAGGTAAAATCTAAGAGAGGCTCGATTTTTACACTTCTTGGCCGCGTTTTTGAGTTGATTAACCGAGATTGGAATATTATTTTGAGGCATATAAGCCGGACTACAAATAAGGTGACAGATCGACTAGCTAAAATTGCCATAACAAGAAGAGAGGTTCATAAGGTATTCTCCGTTCCACCGTGGGAAGTGGTTGAATTAATTCAACAGGAAGCTGCCGACTGCATTTTGACAGCAAAAGCTTAATCTACTGCAGTTTATTTCTTTTGTTCACCGAAAAAAAATCCTTCATTTTACTTTTATTGTTTAAATATTAAGATTCTAATTTCAGCTCTATAAAGATTCGAACTGATCTCACTGTTACTATAAATTAATTTAATAAAATCGGTTTTTATTTTGTAGGGATTCTACAACACTATCAAATGGCTTCAATGTCAGTTCTAATATCACATCAATGACTTGCTACTAAGTCCATAAAAGCCCAAATCACTTCAGCTTCTTTCCATCTTTTAATTGGTTCAAGAAGAATCTGCATCTCTTCCAATGCAGCAAGCAATCCCAAAGCTTGCTCTTCCTTGCTTCACTGCTCCTTTCTCCCTCGTCTCTTTATATTAATCATTTACAGGTAACAAAAATTTCCCATTTTTATTTGTTTAGAGTGTTTCTTCCTTGGGTATTAATATTTTTTCGTATAATTTCAATTTTGCATGTAGGCTTATCTTTGGGGATCGGTTTTTGTTCAAATAATGGGCTGAGGAACGGGAAAAGGCAAGGGCTGGTGGTTAGGGCTGGGAAGGATGCACAACACAAGCAATGAATTCATCAGTCTATGTTGGGACATAACCTTCATTATCTTTCTTTCCCATCAGTTGCAAAAATATTAATTACATAAAACGCTTTAGTAAGGCAAGCTCTTAGAGCTTGTGCTGAGGACCAAGGACTTGAGATTTGAAGAATCCCCGGCAGCATTGGCTCGTCGGGTGATCATTTCCATATTCTTATGAAGACTTTGCTTCACCAGATTCTTCATCATTGTCTTTCCTTCCTGAGCCTCCCTTGGATGCAGAGGCGAACCCATGGCAACCCTTCCTGTTTGTGGTCCAGAATGAGGCCCCATCTTTGCTTGCCTTTCATCTTTGAACCATTGCAACAATTTCATTGCTCTCTTCTGTGCTAAAGGGCTTCCTAATAATGACACTTCCAGAAGTACCGGAACTATTCCTGCCTTTGACATTTTATCCCTTTGAGTCGAGCTTTGATGAGCTAAAATCATTAGAATATAGGCTGATAATTCTTGACATTTCTGTTTGTCCTCCCATGTTAGAATCTCAATCAAGCTCTCTGGTACCATCGAACTATCTTCCATAGCCTTTTTTCCCATCATGGTCAGCACCAAGTGACTTAGTGCTGCAAGGGCTTTCTCTGAAAGTTCTTTGAATGAAGATAGCTTCAAAACAGTGTCTACAATTCCATTAGATACCAAAGGCCCAGCATTTTCTAACACAACAGACAGGTTACAGACAACACCTAAACAGATCTCCTTGGTTTGAATGCCGGAAGCCGACTCAAGAATGCCAACAAGAAACTGGATAACCTCAGTTTTAGCTAGAGAGAAATGGGTAATTGATATAGAAGACAATGATAATAACAGTTCTGCAAATTCATGCCTCGTTTGGTTGTCTACAACATCAATGTCCTTTGGCAACTTTGATAATATTGCAGCCTCTAGCATTAGTGCCTTGTTTCTGAAGCAAAAAAAACGAAGTGATTAAGACTTTTCATGATCTACCTTAAGTTTTGACCAAAGCAGAACCAACCCAGAACTTTTAAAGTCAATGATGAAATCGAAATTTCAGTTGAATAAAACAACAATAATTTTATGGGGTAGATAAGATGATAACCCAAGCGTGCTCCATTATTGCATAAAATAGGAATAATCTCTGCAAGTCAAAAAAATGTGGGAGCTGAACTAACTGGTAAATAAAATGAAACAGAAAAGTCAAGGAGAATCAGAGGTTTAAAGATGAGGGTAGGCAAGGTGAAGGTCAACAAATTCTTATTATTTTTTTCTTAATTAATTAATTATTTTGAAGACAACCTTGCCTGTCTTGTAACATCATTATTGCTCTTCCAACTCCTGCCACCAGGCGGATCCGGTGGACATTGGACAGCCGCCGTACCTTGCGGACGCAGGAGTTGACAGTATTAATGCTTCCAAATCATGCCACAAATCTGTAAATTTCCATTAATGTTTAAAAGTTCCACGTTTCTGAGATGTGAAAGTTCAATCCACGGAAGGGTTTGACACCTCACCAGACAGTACTTAAAACCCAAGGACTAAGACCAATTACCATAAATTAAGAAGTGCAGCAGATGCAGAGCCTATGATTATCAAAATGTTACAGCCTGTAGGGCAGTTGATTAGAGAGATTAGGCCAAATCATCATTAATGTGACCTTAGAA